TCACCTATCAGAGAGGTTTCCTTGAAAGCAGACTATGGAAAGAGCTCCCAACAAAGAGCCGAGAGAAGGAAAAAAMCTCTTCTTTGAGGCTGGTCAAATCTCCAGCTGTACAGGCACCTTGATTTCATCCATGTGACACGCTGCAGTTGTCTGCTAGTGCTCTTTGGACCCTTAATTCTAAGAGAGAGCCTCAAARCTTCCTGGCTGCTCTTGGAGGCCTTCGCTGTGAGCAGCAGATCTTCCCTAACAACTCTGACCTCGATCCTGTGCCCAAGTGCATGGAAAGAACCCGGAGCAAAGCAAAATAACAGCCAACATAACAACTCCCGGCCTGCTGAGAGCAGAGGTAGAAACAAAATAATCTGAAAACAATTTCACCCAAATCCTTGTCCTGCAAGGCAACAAAGTTCTTCTGCTTCCATTTAAGCAAGGAAAGGGCTGAGAAAAGACAAACACAGTGGAGGAAAATTCCACCTCTTACCAACAGGAAGGTTTATCAGCTGCCCTACCAGGGCTGCGCCAAAGGGAGCCGCAGCTTCAGCCCTGGACAAATCCTGGTGCCCCCGCAGCACCCGGAGCAGGGCCTGGCCGGGCTCCAGGTCGTCCCAAAGAAAACAGGCCATGCTATTAACTGAGCTGTAGCTGCTCTGTAACATAAAAAATAAACAAATCACCCTGTTCAATTGCAGCATGTGCGGGAGGCAGCGCCAGGCCTGAGTCAAAGCTTTAGACAAAAATGCCCCCTCAGCTAAAGCTACGAGAGATTTTTCCTGCTGAAATCAAACAAAGCAGGATTTAGGAACTGTTGAGGATGACACTGCAACAATGTTACTTGGCCCAGATCATTCAAAACACGGTGGAGCAGCTACTGCTGCTCAAGATAACCATAAAAAAAACAAATCCTCACAAACTGATGGAGAAAAGTTAGAACCAAAGATCAGAGAATAAACACAGAGCTATGCTCAGGAACTGCTCCTGCTGCTGCTCCCAGCTTGTTTCTCTGCTAGGCCTCCTATGGAGCAAGAAACAGGGAATGAGGCAGAGCCCAAGATCAGCTGCCAAAACACAGCATGTGAGAGAAGCCACCACCTATTACTTATTTTTTTCCACCTACTCAGTCGGTTGCCTGATTTAACCAGCTCAACCTACAGCAAAGAAGCAGGTTTCTCTAAGCATCATGTTTACAGACGCAGCTTTGTCCAAGAAACCCTCTGGAGAAGCAGAGCACAGGGCTGTAACACCCTATAGGAACAAGCCTCTGCTCAGACCACCCCGGGCTGTCTGCGCCGCCCGCGCGGTGCCGGATGGAAACACGGCTCCATGCTGCTCACTTGCAGGTTCTTCAACAGCAAAGCCCTCCTCACTGCAGCGCGGAGCTGCAGCTGCCCATCCCGCCCTGTGCCAGCGTCTCCCCAGCTCTTCCACCCCGCAGCCACGTCTGAAACGTTACCAGCTAATACCCCATGTTCCCCTCTGGAAACAGGCCACAGAAATGCAAAACCTTCACAGCGAAATGCCTGCACCTTCAGCTGAGGGCTGGGGCGGTTTGGCATAACCGGGAAGGCGACACCAGAGCGCGCGACGCGTCTCCTGCTATCAGGCACTGGGTTCTCCCCAGAAACAAGCACAAACTCGCTGTGCTAAAGGGACATCCCTGGGGCGCCCTGACGCAGCACGTTCAGCCCGGGCTCTGCCAAAATGCAACCACCACCCGTTGCCCCCGCGCCCGACACGGGCGGCACCGCAGGGCGAGAGCAGGCCTTCGCCCTCCGTGCCCAGAGCAGGCCTGGAAACCAGCACCATTCCCTGCCTTTTCCGCGTGCCTGGCCTGCCTCTCCAGAGCACGTTACTCCACCTGGTGAGACTGGGACTTCCTAGGCCAAGGAGTGACAGAAAATTAACCTGAAGGACCCAGTTTCTGGTCCCTCATCTAAGGCCGCTTACATAATTTTACATGAAATGTCTTCCTGAATCCTGCTGTCAATGGCTAAATAAAACATCTAATTACATAAGTTACATTTTTCCTTACTCATTTAAGGATAAAAATTAACTAGTGGTTCTTAGACCAGAGAATGGCAAGTATATAAACAGGAAGCCATGTGTCCCCGAAGCATTTACGAGGCTTGGGCCATTGCAGGGATGCTCCAAGAGCCAGAGAGCGGCTTCCGTCGGAGGGACACAGACACAGCCCGTGCTGAGGGCCCTTCGCCCTCATGGGTGGGCATCAGAGAAGCAGACATCAGAATAACTGCACAGAATTAAGCTGTGCACGTTAACCTGGCACAATCACCCGAGTATTTGTTGTAAATTATCCTTTTATGCATTTTTGTTGTTGTTGTTGTTGTTGTTGTTCTTTTTAAAATGGCTTTTCCAGCTGCAAATCAATTAACACAAGGTTGTTAATGCACATCACTAAACTTAACAGCATCCCACAGGAGGCAAAACACGAACAGTTTTCCCTGGTGTTGTTGTTGTTGTTGTTCTTTTTAAAATGGCTTTTCCAGCTGCAAATCAATTAACACAAGGTTGTTAATGCACATCACTAAACTTAACAGCATCCCACAGGAGGCAAAACACGAACAGTTTTCCCTGGAAGGTGACAAGACCCCAGGGGCGGGGGAAAGTGCTCAGCAGCTGCCCACAACATCCCCGACTGAGAGCCAGTGAAGAGAGACGTTACTGCGTCCAAAGCACTGAGGGCAAAAACATAAAATGAAATAATAAAAAACACAGTGATGAAGCAGCTGAATCCTGCCCAAGGCCGGGCCTGGAAGGTACCTGGGCACCAGGACTGTCCTTTTTTAMTACAAAATCCTGGGAGAGGCGCGAGCAGAGCGGCCTGCCCCGACCCGCGGGACAGGTCGGCACCACCTGCGCCGCGGCCCGCGCTCACCACGCGCTGAGCGAGGCCCAGGCGCCGCCGCAGCGCCCCCACCGCCGCCCGGACCCTTCAACCAGGCCCAGAGGCCCCGATAACGGCGGATTTCACCCCAATTCCCGGCTCGCCCCCCGGCTCCCGGGAGGCAAAGCCCAGCTGGGCGCGGGCCGCGCGCGCTGCCTCGGCGCCGGGAGGCGGCAATAGGGGCGCCGCGGCCGCGTACCTGGCGCAGGGCGGCGCGGGGGCCCGGCCCTGCTCCGGTGGCGGCGACGCGGTGCGGCGCGGCGGGCGGCGCTCAGGCGGCGGCCATGTTGGCGCGGCGGCGGCCGGCACGTGCGCGCCGCGCTCCTCCTCCTACCCACAATGCCCGGCGGCGCGCCCGCCCGCGCGGCAGGCGGCTCTGCGCCCGGCGCAAAAAGGAACCGTTGGCAGCGGTGGGATTCGAACCCACGCCCCCGAAGAGACTGGAGCCTTAATCCAGCGCCTTAGACCGCTCGGCCACGCTACCGCCATACACAACGCTTGCGGCGCGCACACTACTGTGCACCCCCACCTTTCTGGGACGTTTTTCCTCTTTTTTGGTTTACATATTAATTTAAGCACCCCCCCACCTTTCCAAAAGCAGGTCCTAGCAGCCGCGCCCATATATACCACACACTTAAGCTGTACTTCTACAGGTCCAAAGCAAAGATGTCGTTTCCTTTGCACTGCTGCTGCGGTGGCAGCGGCGCAGAGCCCTGGCAGAGGCACCGCTGCCGCTCGGGGGAGGCCCTGTGGGCCTGGGCCAGCACAGGACGTGGCTGTGGCCCGTGGCGCAGCCCTCCCGGGAGCTGCCACGTGGATGCCACGCTGCAAGGGGTGGCCTGCAGTGCTGCTTGTCGTCGCCCCGCTCCCGGTCCCTGCAGCGGTGCCGGGCCCCACCAGCTTTTCCAGCCCCTGGGAACTCACTGGAAAACTCACATGTAACGCAGGCTACTTGTGTAAGTACATTGCTTCCCTGAGGCAGGAGTGAAGCAGAGAACAAGGACCGACCAGCCACACTCTGCCCTTGTTCAGGCCRAGGACAGGGGGAAGCCCGGTGTGGGGGAACGCTGTGAGCCTGTCCCCAGGACGAGATGCCCCGAAACTTCCACCCRAAAACAGCCCGACACCCCCAGAAGCGCTGGCCTAGAGCCCAAACAGGGAGCCACAGGCAGCCCTTCTTTTCTAAAACTGGGAGAAGTTTGGGTTGGCCGCACCTGCACTGTGCCTGCTGTGCTAAGAGACCGCATTATCGCAAAGTGCCTTTGCTAGGGAATGATTTCAGACCGTTGAAACGATACAGGAGAATTATCATCAGCCTTAAGATAATAAAAAGCAACAGTATAGGCTGCAGTTGCAATCCTTTAAAAGGGCTAATACCAGAACAGTTTGCTATAAAAGAAGGAATAAACACAATGAAGAGGACAGTATATCATTAAATACTGTACCTATTATAAGAACTCTCCCACTCTAATCATCCAAGCCAAACATTTACTATTTGCTTTCCGCAGGGCTAGGCAAAGATTGGAGGYATAAAGACACCTCTAACAGCCCTGCAAGGGAGCGGGGCTTGGTGGGTCCTGTGCTAGGTACAGGCATTACGGATGTAAGCAAATGCAAATAATACATCACATAAAATATGAGTTTTCTTGGTGCACATCTATTTCCTCCCACTTATTTAGGTCTGTTGAAAGTACATAATAATTAAAAAAAAAAAAAAAAAAAAAAGCAAGAGCCAAGAGAAAGCCCTTAAGGCAATGAGCAAAACTCCAGAACCCTTATTCACCTTCCTGAATGAAGCCAGATGAAGCCAAGGACATGATCACGCAGCACAGGCCACCAGCACCCACGTGTCTGACACCCCAACAAGGCTCCCACCTTGCGGTCCTCATCCAGCCCTGTTCCCCATGACCTCCAGGAATGCTGCATCTGAGTCAGTTTTGCAAGGCTGAGCCTTAGATTTATTTTCACATTTTTTAAAAATATATTTTTTATTTTTCATTGTGAATACATTAAAAATACAGCACAGAGCAGTATCATTCCAAGTCTGTCAAACACATATTGTCTCCAAAAGAATGTCATAGAGTTGTGCAAATTACTGTAAACCAGTTTCATTCTTAAATCATTCGAACTCCTAATTATTGTAGAACTAAGTAATATTATACCACCTTAAGACAGAAGGCAGTCTACATCATTAAAAAAGTAACATTTACAGAAAGTGAAGTATTAATCATTATATTTTTTCAGAGCTGTGACCATATTTACACACCAAGTCTACAGACAGCTGTGGGCAACTTTAGCAAGAACAGAAATTATCAAATTAAACTATGTCAAAGAGTTTCAACAATTATACTCTTAACTCCTTTACTTACATTTTAGATGGACACATTCAATCTCCTCCCTACAAAACTGGTGGGGTTATTACAAGTGTGCTTCTTTTTCATGGAAAAAATCTCAAAGATTTGGCATCAACACCACACAGGGAAAATAAATCCCTTGTTGGTACATGTTATAGTGCCCGCATGGTATCRGTTCTGCACAAAACGTTCTATGATTGTTCAACTGATTTCAGAGGTGAGGGGTGTTTTACCTTTCATGAAGAGCTGATGCTTAAGGGCTATGAATTGAAATAGCAAAAGGCCACATCCAAGAAGGGCTGTAGGCATCCACACATCTGTGGCCAGGCACTTAAAGCATTTACCTAAGTTGTGACAATACAGATTTCCATTCAATTTCAGCATATTAGGCACAAAATTTGAGCGTTTTAGTACCTAGCTAGTTACCTACCTAACAGGTTTGCTAGAGCGAGGCTGAGGAGCACTGTGAATCCTTCAGCACTCCATGGTGGTTGTTCCTCATTCATGCCAGTTTACATCCTCAGAAAAGTACAGGCAAGAGGGCAGATTCTGTCTTCATCTCCTACAAACTACTGCTAACCAAGACCAGGAAATAGGACTACAGCTTTCAAAACAGCTATATTGATGGCACTGGAGCTTTGGAATATAACTGGATTTGGAAGAATCTTACCTTTGTGCAATAATTCAATATGGTGTGCTTGTCTTCCCTTTACTAGTTTAGCAGCATGTAAACAGGGTACAGAAATTCAAGCGTCTGGGGATAATAATGCTTTCTCCTCAAAACCTGCAAAAGTATAATTTTCTTCAACTACCATTTACAGCAAGTCTGTCTCTCATGAAGAGAGAAGGTCTTTTAGGAAATTTAGCCAGCTAAGAGAAGATACTAAAATATAGGTGCAAAACTCCAGAACATGAATATCTAATACTACGGGAAATAAACTTTGTACCACAGGTAGTATTAAATAAATTATCTGGTTTAATCTGTATATTCTTCGCTGATCAGCTCAAATCTATCAAACTCTATCATGTGAAGTTACTTTATGAGCCATGAGAGAACAGATCAGACACATTAAGTTATTTAGACAAGTTTTTTTTTTCCCTATACACAGAAACAGATGAATAAACATTCTCTACACTTTTTTCAAAAGTCCCTCAAAATGAAAATTCACTTCCCACCATTTCAAGTGAGAGGATCCAGCTTCACTGCAACTGAGATGTCACTGTAAAGATAGCTACATACTACCAATATGTTACAGGTCTTGTCACTGGATAAATCAGAGATGAGCACGATTTAAACAGCTAGGTTATTATGTTGTAAAAAATGTTGAAATAACAGAGGTAGCTAGATGCCTCACCTCGCATTAGTGATGTTCTGATCATAACACACATACTGCTGATAATGAATAAACACATATCCCACCCTGAATATTCAGGGTGCCAAATTAGAAGCACCATTTTTCCCCCCAAAATGTAAAGATTAGATCTGAAATTTGTTAGAGAAGAATATCAGAGTCAATCAACACCAGCTTCATAGAAGGGGACCACTTATTAAGAGTAGTTGCATGCTTTACATGCTTAAATTGAAAATTTATGTTTACATGCAAAGGATAACTAAACTTGAGATAGACCAAAAATGAAGACACGATGTGTATTTAGGAAAACATACAGGAGAAGAAACGTAAACACACTGATCATTTGCTGTGTAAWAAGCTGGACATGTGCAATGTAAACAGATGTCAGCTTCACTTTTCTCAAACAAATCATAATAGTTAAGAATATATAAAAGCTCAATTGTACTGGTATTACAATTTTAAAACAAAGGTGGAAGTACACTAGGGTTCCCTACATAATACCTATATTTGGATTTCTTCCCTCAAAGTCAGAAAACTAAAATATAAAAACAAAAACTGGTAACAGTACATAAAAATATATCCTTTTAGCGGTAAACATTAATAATACATCTACAAAAATATTATATACAAGAACTGCCTAATTACAATATCATTCTTCCATCATCGCCCAAGCCTCTTCAGCTTTTTGGTAGTATTGATTTGCCAGCCTGCCTTTCATGGCTTCTGTTGCTGCTTCTGCTGCTTCAGTGTACAGTTCACCTACAGGAGGAAATATCAGGCATGTTAGTAAAGGAAAAACATCCTTTTACCCTGAAGCAATTGAAGTATGAAAAGGGAAACTGAGATCCGGCCCTGTAATTTGACCTGTGGGTGTAACTGTGTATTTTATGAATATCAGCAGAGTTGCATCAGCTGGGATCCCGGCTTTTGCTCCACCTCAAGAGTTATATGACTGGTTGCCGACAGTGTTGTGCACAACCTGGCAGTTACTTTGGTACCTCAAAATACAAGCAGCAGCCTGCAGGTCGGTGGCCTCACAGGGAGTGAAGGTTGCTTGCAAGGGACTCAGCATGTCACAARATTGAAGCTGGAACCACCCACCATCCCTGACATCAGCCAAATCTCTTTCACTGTTTTCAGTACTATATATTGCTTGGGTGCATTGTAGGTTCATCCACAAGCTCTGGACACTGACACTTCTCTGTACGTTTTGTAACAGCTGAATCAGGAAAGGTATTTTTGGGATACATATTGGGTAGGTGAGGGGAAATGACAGATTACTGATTGCAGAAACAAAAATGAGGAGAGGACTCACCTGATTTCTGTGGATCTTTGTCCAAGTGAAATCCTCCCATCATTAGCATCTCTGCTTCCCTGGCCAGGAGCAGATATCGAGGCTCATCCTGAGTGCCATCATATTCACCGCCCTCATCATAGTCAGTCATGGTCAGGGCAGCATTGTACCAATGCAGCGCCTCCTTCCAATCCCGCACTCTGAAGTTAAAAACAGTTTTTGAAGACAGTTMCCTTTGGAAACAAGTACACTTTGCATTGGAGCTTCAGGATCAAACCCTGCACCAGCCCCTCAGCCCTAGAGCTCTTCAAGAAAATTTGTGTTCTCAGGGAGATAATAGTACAAGTGTAATGACGTGAGGCTAAAATACAACAGATCATGCTGGGACCGTGTTATACAGCAATCACAGATGAGAACAAGTCAGATTGAAGTGTCCTGCTGAGCTCCAGGSTTTGAGCATTCACTGTCAGTTACCATATGGTTTTTGAGTGGCATTTATTTGTAACTTGCACAGAGCTCATTTCACTAATWTTTTTTTTAAAGTACCACATTTCAGACTGTTTTTTTTTTTTTTCCCAGCACTGAAAAGGATATAGCTCCTATTAAAACCAAGGAAGTTTTAACATCCACCTCAGAGCAAAAACAAACAAACAAACAAAAAACACACCCTTGTATACCACAGGGAAAGGGAACTTGGTCTTGGTATCAGGACTAAATCCAAACATGCAGATGGAGACAATACACATGCAGATATTCAGCAGCAGAACTTTGTTATCATAATTTAACCTCTGTTCTTATTCATACTTGGATATACTTGAAATATCTCTAAAAAAGTCTCATTTTTACTAACAAATCTTTACATGAATGAAAAACATGCAGCAAGCATTATTTTTTGTGTGTGTGAATAACACCGGGTTAGCTTACCCAGTGATGCACAGTACCTGTCTGAAGCAAGATTTACACCCGTATCATATGCCCTTGCTACTAGGATCATGGAAGGTCGATCTCCAGCTTCTGCTGCTCTCAGTAAGTAATCAAATCCTTTTCTTCTGTTCTCCTCTGTGTCCTAGTAAAACAAACAAAACCTCTAAAATGGTTGTTTCCATGTAAATCCATGCCTTGTTTCCTCTATCAGTAAATACAGTTTCTCCACATCAGTAGCTGTTACAAGCATTTAACACATCTGAGAAGCAGGCCCAGCCACAAGAAGTTAAGTGGCTGGATCAGTAAATCTTTGTGAAGATAAAGATTTCATAAAAACTTCCTGATGTTACACAGTGATTTTCTGGCAAAACCAGGAAGAGACAGCTTCTTYGGTGTTTAGTCCAAGTCCTTAATTATAAAGCCATCTGTTTCCCTGAAGAGGAACTTTTAATGCTGTGGCTACAGTAAAACATAGCCATGGTTATCGTTTTGTCTTCCTTTCCTACAATACTTAGACTATTTCTCCTGAAGGAGCACAGTTCTGGATTTTGGCTATTCTGTGATTTTCCTATTTACCTCCAGAGTGACCTCAGACAGAATGTGATGGGGCAGCTGGCAGCACATGAGCCCTAGCGCAGCGATGGCTTCCAGCTCCCCGCAGTCGGCAGCGTGCTCCAGGTGAAACAGGGCTGACTCCTGGTCCCACTCCTTGTCCTTCTCACAGAAACGTCCAGCTTCGTGGTAGCGAACCATGGCCAAATGAACCTAGAACACAAGCGTACAGGGAAGATGAACCAGCATGAATTGTAGCTCCAACTGCTCAAAAGCTACTAGCCCGTACATTTCTTTGGTTATCCAGACCRCATCAGAGCACCAGGTCTCAGGGGGCACGTGCTAGTTCCTGCATATCTGCTGGGGCCTTGGAGGCTTCTAGGAGGCAGTTGTAATTAAAGTCACTTTGGCTAGATGGCACTGCAGGCTGCAGCCTCCTCACGCACCAGCCAGGAGGACAGGCTCTAGTGACCCAGCTCACAGGCATTTCTTTACAGAAAGGCCCCAGTGGACGGGAATTAACCAGAAATACAAAAAGTAACGACAATCTCTTATTCTAAGAGAAATTCTGATACCACTGAAGCCTCAATGGGAGCAAGATTTCATTTCAAATGTGTATTGGAATTGTTATCTCCCCCCACCCCGCCTCTCACTCTCAAAAAAAAAAAAAAAAAAAAAAAAAAAAAAGGCAGATTTATTTTCAAAAGCAAGGAAAATCATTTGAGGTTTGGGCAGGTCTACACAGTGTTTTGAGTGTGAACTTAAGCCCATGCATAAGTCCAATCTTAATTCACATTTGAGCTGTTTGGGCAGTTTGGGGCAAAAAGAGCTGGTCCACACTAGCACTGCTGCGGAGCCGAGACAGGCCTGCCTGCAGTGCATGGGCATCAGGCGCATCGCACCTACTGCGCTTATCTTCTTTGCCTGAAACCTGCGGCAAGGCAGAYGAATCAACAGTAGGGTCCTTCCCACAAAGGCTCACAAGTTCAAGTTCAAAAGCATATGGAAGTCACGGGTTAGTGAGTCAGGTTTCCTTTATAAAACTAAGTAACAGGAACCTATAGGCATAATATTTCTTTTTGCTATGTGAATAACTAGTGCAGAAAGGCACCGCTACAAATATAAGGAACAAATATAAAATGTTTCTTTTTGGAYGGAAAGACTAGAATTATTAGACTCATCCTACCTTCCCAAGGATTGACTTCCCAATTTTCTTTTCAAGTTCTAATGCATTAAGCCTCTGAATTTCATGTGCAACACAAGATGGTCTGTGGACATGGACTCTGGAAGAGTTGTAGAGATTCCATTTCTCCACACTGACCTAAAATACAGAATTTACCACCGTTTATATCTAAAATTAAAAGTTTTCAAACTATTCATATGGAGCACCATACAGAAAAAAAATACTGCTTATTAGTAAATACCATAAATCAAGATACTGATTTCAAAAGTCACATTAGTAGTGGTTATTATTTTTCACTATAACAAAGAAAGGTCTCCATTACTATGCGCTACATCAAATATTKAATATCACCTTTAAGTCCTGAACCAAAAGATACACACACATGAAAACCATCACCTGAACAGTCACACTGTAAACATTGAGGCTACCTATACACATAAAATTAAACCCATACTCTCTTGGTCAGTATTTCAAATAAATAAAATTTTTAAATACTGCTTACAATCAACAAAGCTAGAAAAATGGAAAGAGTCTCAGTAACAATTCAGAAGATGATGGACATACATGTATTRTACTAATGTTGTTCAGGTTGTCCAATACAAATCTTTTTTTTTTTTTTCTCCTCTCTAAATAACAGGCAGATGGGAAAAACTATCTGAAAAATAATGCTATCAAAATGAAAGCCACTGAAGGCACATAGAGGAAACATAATACAATAGGCTATTGRCACTGATCTTGAGACTATTAAAGCTCTTTCAATTTTCAGAAACATCAATACATAATCACTACAATTAAATTCTGAAAAGCACATTTAATGGAAATACTCATTGTACTCAAAACTTTTCTTTTCCCCTCTTTTCATATAGGAGAGAGTTGTTTTTAGACACAGGAACTAATTATCCTAAAGGCTATATTTTGCAAACATATAGAAGCAGGTTCCCCAGCCCAAGTAATATGCATAACGCAAGCAGTTATCATCACACATCTGAAACACTGAGTTTTGAAAAGAAGTAATCCCACCATGTATAGGATGCAATTCCATAAATAAAAAACAAAAAGGAAATATCTTCTAGTTAAGCAGATTTCTTCTCTCAGTCCTCAAATATGAAACAGTGAGAAACCCATGCAGAATTATTAATTTACACTAGGGATCATTAGTAACAAAAGAAAAAGAAGAGAATGTAAAAGGGTAGGTTATTTTTAATAGAGATATTATTCGTCAGTGGAAAAGAAAACTGACATCTGACACTGTGATGTGAAGTTAGATGGCAGATGAATGGAACAAAGTACAGAGTGGAAAACTCAGTTGTCAATGAATGTTGCTGCTTTATTTACCCTTGCAGAGCTTCCCAAACTGTCTTCATCAGATTCATGTCTTCGGTTGTTGTTTGAATTGCCCTATGTTAACGTAAAGATTTGCATCACTTAATTTACAGCAACTGATGTGTACCAGTCACCCCTCTGGACTATCCCAATCCAGCAAAAGTAATAGCAACAGTAATGAAAAGAGTTTTCACTGAATTCTCTTCTCTCAGTGATGTTCAGATACGCCCCCMAAAAAAAGGTGCTGATGGGTTAAAAAAATATTGCAAAAGACAGGCTTTAATCTAGATTAACTACAGCTATTCTAAAGCAAACACATTACCCACCCTCTAAGATGATTTCTTGGTACAAAAGGGGTTGTATCTTCGGAAGTAGGATGCTCTTGCCTATCTASCAATTAAACATGGAGCTAGGATCTTCAGGTCAAAGTACATTCCTTAGAAGTTTGTATTTTAAAAGGGTAACCAACTGACTCACAGGAGTTCCAAAGCTGTATATTATTAACTGACTATAAACATTGAGTTCTGTGATATCTCTAGCCATATAAAGTCACATAAGGCAGGGAGGGTAAAAGAGTGTGAAAGTTAGTCTTACTCAGAGATTTCATATGACAAAAGCTGGTTATAATGGATGGTTCTCAATGCAATACAAAACACTTCAATAAAACCCCCAAACCTGCAATCAACATTTGAAATTAAATTTCTCATTACAAATAGTCTTTTTCTTGTTAAAGTATCATCAACATCCACAATGAATAAGTAATTTTGCAGCTTGTGGGAATTTCTTTCCAACTATTTCCTTCATGCAAAAGCCTAGATGAAGAGGAATAAAACATAATTTTCTATGGATTTGCTTCAAGTAAGAATAAGAAATTCAGCCAATTGCTAATGTCAGATTAAGTTCTTACCCTCTCTTTGTGATCCAGATCTTCTATCTCACTTCTCTTTTCACTGGGATAGCCACTGTCTCCACCATTTTCAAAATCCTATAAAAGAACAAAGCAACACAGCATCACCACTAGCCTTTGTGAAGTTCTTGGCTGGATATCTTCCATAATCTTCATCTAATTTCCATATAGGTTTAGAGGATGAAAAGGATTATAAGTTGTGCTGTCTGTGACAGAACAGGATTTAATGAYCCTGAAGGCCCAGTGCAAGCTCATATTTCCTCTTAAATACTTAGAATTCAAAGACTTGCATGCAAGATCAGACCAAGAGCCCACTTTATATAGTTTTCAGGCTTYGTCAGTAGCCAGGTAACAGAAAAACAACAACTGGTAGTTTTTGTTCCTGGAACTCAGGCCCTCCTGTAGGAAAATGTCCTCAAAATACTCCTGGTAGTTTCCTTAGAGGGTATTCTCTGACAGCCCACAGTGCCAGTATTCATGGGGACCTAATCAATGGGCATTCTGTTTAGCTTGCACACCACTAAGTTGGCAAAAGCTCCAGAGAGACAACATAACAGGTAAACAGAGCTCTGTACTACCTATTAAAATATAGCAGATGCAAACAAATCTCTGGAAACAAACAAACAAAAACAAAAAAGCTTTTAAAACAAACTTTTTCTAATAAATTAAAAACAACAGATGCAGGCAATGTGCATCGAAAGCAGGCAGAGAGCCTTTATGTGCCTTTCCTGAACAAACCCCTACTGGTGGCCATTTATMTTCTTTAAGAAACTGCAATCTCATTTTCTGTCACTCACCCTTTGATTGTCAAGCTGATCGTAGTCTTTGTGAACCAAGTTGTCTACTTCATTGAACACAGGCCAGTCTAGGAAGAAAAACATTTGCTTCTTATTTTAAGAACAACAGACTTGAGAAGAAAGTTCTAGGCATCATAACCTTGCTTTTACAGGAACTTTTTCATAGCAGCATCTCAAAGGCGTTATTTAAAACCCCCCAAAATAAAACAAGTCATTGCCAAATGCCCAGGAATCCGGCGGTTATACACGAGGCTCACTCACTAAGCATGTCCATYTTTTGGCTGTGAGGGGTTGCTGAGGAAGGTGAGCAGGGCAGAGAGTCGAATGCCATGTCGCTCATGYTCTCATCTCCAGAGTTTTCAGACAGGCGGGAGAGCAGAGGAGGGCGGCTACCGGAGATGGTTCTCACCCGGCTGCTCCCACATCTCTCCTCTGTGCCACGCACAACGGTCTGAGCAGATTTCTTGGCAAATGAAAAGAAAAATGACATCAATAATGCTTCCCTTCTCTTTATCCCAAGTACGATGCAAAGGCCAATATGTTTATTAGGTATCTTCTACAAAGGTAGTAGGATATAAGTACATGCGTGCATGCATATTTATTTATTTTTAAAGCATATCCCTTCAAAATAGCGGAAATCCTGGCATTATTATAGCCAGGGGATTTCTGTTTAGAGAGACTTAGATTCCTTTCAAGGACTAGATGAATTCTGCATTCATAGTTCCACCACTATTATTGAAGTTGAGATCCACTGAAGATCAGCAATTTAATTCTTTTTCCTCCCCAAATCACTTGCTTTGTGGTCTTCAAGCTAATAACTTCAGCATTCAAATCTCATCTTGATCCTAAACATCATATGTGTTACAAGGTTCTCATTCATTAAAGCAGTATCATGAATTCAGAGCCAAGAATGGACGATTCAGCTCTAGACTACAACATTTGTTATTACGGTAGTTTTATCTGTCACATAAATACCATATTTGAATTTTATTTACAGGACTTTTAAAAGTTAGAGTAAACCAAACACATTGCTCAGTTATACTCTTTTTCTCCTCCTTTTTCTAGTCAATTACTTACAAGCAATTCGTTATTATAATCCAAAGCATCTCTCTCTTTGGATGAAAGATCAAATGGAGCAAGTCCCATGCTTTTGCAAATCTTGTTGCAGGAATGCGAATGAAAGAACAAGGCCATACCTCGAACACCTATGGCATTCAGGGGAAAAAAAAAAAAAAAACAACACAGTTTTAAGATCTGTTGTTCAAACTCTAAGTCTGTATAATTTCCAGAGACTAAGTATGCTTCAAAAAAAGCATATAAAAATTATTCATGAAAGTGCTGCAACATTGAGTAATACATGCCTAACTTTAATCCCACTTACAAAACTCACAGTATCTTATGAACAACTTCATGCGTGGACACAGAATAATTTACCTAGGTTGCCATCTCCAAAGTCCGTCCCACTCTCTGTATGGATCTGAGGGTCTGTATAGAGATCTCCAACTCCCTGGATGTCAACAACAATCAGTTGGTGTCCTGAGCGCTCAAAGGTGAAGTGACTAAAGGCCTGCAAGGAAACACAGTATAACAAAACTCTCCATTGATCTCTATTGACACTTATTTACCAAAGCCAAAGAAACTGGACAACTCCACTTGTGAAAGAGAGCCAGTAAAACCAGCATGGTGAAAGCAAAGTGAAAGCAAGGCCAAAATGATGTAGCGGATTTCTAGCCCTAGACTAGATGATGCGCAGTSAGAATCACACAGAGATCATCCTTTGGAATAAATGCTGGTTGACTGGCTCATGTGAAGTCACATCAGTCAAACAAGCAGGACTTGGACCTTAATTTCAACCTTTACAGACTAACAGAAGCACTGAGTTTCTAATAAATTGTTTCACTGAATATTGTCCTGTAGACTGTATCCTCTGAGGTGACTATATTTAATGCTAAGTATTTGTTGGTAGAGAAGAAATTTTTCCCCATCTCCAAACAGGGAAGCAAAATTTGAATGCAGATCTCCCRGATGGAAAGGAGTATCTTGCCTCTGTGGCACTGCTTCTCTAGCCTGCCCCCAACTCAGAGGGGCTGGGAGAGACTAGGGGAGGAACAGCCATGGGGACATGCAACAAAGACRGGATCACTCAGTATCTCCTTCCTCCCTCAGGGATTCTGTTCTCACTTGCAGCTTTGACTTCTGGGCAGAATACAACTGCATGGAAAGCAGCAGCACAGAAGCCAGTGCAGAACTGCTTCTGCATAAACATCCTGGCTCTGGACACTGCCTCCTTCCACAGAGGAGCAAAGCTCTGCCACATCTTGCAAAAGGAAAATGAGCATCCCTTGGAATTCTCCTCTCCCAGTGTAATCTCTGAGAGGTCCTCCTGAATGACTGATCTGGCTCCGTACTCACATACAGGATACTGAAATGTATGCTTATATTTTTTAGAAACTGCATTTCAAGAATGTCAGGTATATTAAAGGAAATAAATAAATAAGCCTTCTTTGGCAAAAAGCTGAGACATCAGGAATCTTCTGGGAAGGCCTCCAGAAAAGCTCTGCCAGGCCTGGGGGAGGTGGCTGGTGGTGATAGACAAACACTGTAACTGCAGCAAAACCCACAGAACATTTTGTTCCCAACCTGAGGAAGCCTAGCACTCACTCAGTGTGCAAGAGACAGCCCAGAGCATGAATCCTCTGCCTTTGTTAAGCAACGTGACAAATACTTTAAAATAGAGGGGAGGGGAAAAAACAAACATAAAGACAGCAAAGCCAGTACCCTTGGTATGCTGATCAATTTGCATTACTGACAAGTATTTTAAAAGTTCTTCTGTGAGAATCAAGAACTCTCAGTCACTTGAAGTGTGAAGGTTTTTTCCCCCTATAATCAATCCCAGATTCACCTATTCAAGTACTTTTATCTGAACTAGATCCTTCGATGCAAATGAGGTGCACATCTATTTACACAGGGTGCAAAACTGCTCCCCTCCTCTTCTATGTTACTATGAGGCAGTAGAATACGACTTAGTACTTAATATGTAAGAGTTCTCTCCCTCTCTTTAATTCGAAGTAACATTGAAAAGTTTTGATGCCTGCAATTATAATCTGTGTGAAAGGACTTATAGTTTCTAAAGAGCATAAAGTACCTTCAATTTAACTAAGAATCAACGGACACTAAAATGCATTAGAAAAGTACTCTGTGCTTGAAAGAACAAGCCCCAAATAAGGAGCGCACATAYTGCAAAAAAGAAATTAATCTGGTGTTGTACTGGAAAGCCTGCAGTTTCCTTTCCTGGCAGAAGTGCAAGACCTCCAGGCACAGCCAAGAAATTCCCTGCAGCAGACAGCTATGGAAAACATCAAGCAAAGCCTCACTTGCGGAGTAAGACGAATGTTGTCATCTCGCACAAAACCAGAATTTGAGTTGTATTTGATATATTTGCCCTCTATATAATGTTCCAGATGAAACAGAGGCTTTCCGGGTCTGTTCTTCATTTCAATAATGCAGATTTGTACTATATCCACCTGGGAAGGCAAGGAAAGCAAACAGTGACTAACAGAATACTGCCTGCAGAGCAAAGCATGTGTGAATTCTCCAGCTGTGAGTTGCTAAGATCTGTTTGTTCAACAAAGAGATCAGGGAGGAGGGAGGGACAAATCATTTGCTTCACAGATTGTTKGGGAAATTCCATAAATTCAAAAGAATAACTTCTAAATAGTTACAGAAACTCTCTTCTGCGACACATCYCTCTGCATCCTGCCTCATCTCCTCCCTCTGTCCTGGACATATTCCTAAAGAAATTCCCCCCTGCTTACGTGCAGTTTTCATCTTTTCCATGGCATATAAAACTTCTCTACATTCCTCTATGTGCACTTCACTCTATCCCTCACCTTGTTGCTATGAAACAAGTAGTTATTAACTACATCCACACCCGAGGGTGACTCTCAGATGCAACACACTACATATAGTCCACATATTCAAATGCACTCCCTACTTTTCGCTACTTTTAGCCTGGGAGTTTTCATACATCTTGCTGAATGCTTTGTATATTAAACAATGTACTAGGATTTCCACAGAGACATTCAAAAGAAACAAAGCGTCGTCATCGTTACTTTTTGGAAAGTCTTCAGGAATCTGCATGCAGAGAGCATAGGACAGCTTTGTAAAGTCATGCAGGTTCTCAGCTCTCCTTGAAATCAATGCCAGCCTAGATACCTTGACAAGACTTGGGCACATCTAACCTTCCAGGAGCACTAAGAGTTAAGTGATTGCTCAGACTGCTGCTGGCAATAAATTCTGTGACAGTCCTGGTTATCTGAAAAGCAGCTGGGCAAATATCTGAAACAGCAGAGACTTTTATTCTGGTCTTGTGTCAACAGCTGAGAACAGTCAGACATGCACAAGCATGCAGATTGGGACTTTGGATGAGAAAAGCAATTTCTGCATTTACTTCATTAAAAATCAACTGCAGTTTAATGGAGAACACAGTAGGGCAGAATTTATATGAGCAATTAACTTTAATGGAATTTAAACAGCTAATCCCCTCTAAATTCATTGGAAAGCATACCCATTAGAAGGGCAAGGCTGATCTCTGCTAAGCAAGAYGTTTGAGTGTACCTGCTTTGGTGGCTTGTGCCGGTTGTACTCTTCTCCCCACAGTTTTGCTTCCATCTGAAGTCGGACATCCTCAAAATACACATCCCTTCCTACACTCTCTATGTATTGCTTGGCTACATAGTTGTAGGCACCTTTCCAGTTCTGCGTGTGTAAGAAGTTGGACAGCTTTTTCCTGAAAGAAGAATAAAATTGTTGATGAAAGGAAAACTGAGCATTTAAATTCAATATTCCTCATGTTTTTGCATTTATGGAAAGAGCTAAGCCATGACATCAGCATTATCCTCAGTGCAGAGCTGATCCTATACCACTTATGCAGACAGATATTCTGGCTGAAAAACACCGCACAGTTGGGGTGAGGGCAGAAGGAACATCCCATATGAAAGGCTGGGACTCGCCAAATGGCCCGTGTGACTTCCTATTTGGACTCTGACCTCGCTCCTTTCCTCATTCCCTGTTCAGCCAACACAGGGCACCAAGGGCTGCTGCTGTCTCGGGCCCTTATTCTAAAGTCAACAATTATCATTGGCAGAAAATACCAGGGAGGGGCCTTTCAAACATGAACAAAGAGAAGAAAATGGTCTCCTATGACAAAAGAGCTGCTATCTTAACACTTGTAAGTTGCTACTCAGTATCCCCAAYATTCCCAGAAGGAAAACTGCAGCCTAGAATTATTTGATGTATTTTTAATTGTTTTTATTGATGTGCTAACCTTTAAACCACAGATGCTTCAAAGTGAAGGAAAAAAAAAAGATTTAGCTGGAWCTCCTGGGTGCCAGCAAATGAATCAAGGAGGCATCCAATAGTTGCAGAAAAAGTCAATGTTCAAAAAAATGAACATTTTACCATGAATTTTAGAGCAACTGCAGTCTTCTATCCTTCAGGAGCAGCATCCATTTACATGGGACATAGAGAAAAGGAAGAAATTTTCTTTTTGCTGGTTTTTTTTTCCTGCAGTTTGAGACTTTTCAAATTCTCTTTAAAACTTTTTTTTTTTTGGCACAAAGTAAGCCAACTCACACGCATTTCTAAAGCAAACGCCCGCCATGGTTCATTAAGTGAAGTGCAACCAGTGCTGTCACTGGAATGATAGAGAGGTACAGTGTTGTAAAAATAGAGAGAGYTCTAGATGAGTATCTGTGCACCAGTGCATGTTGTGGAAAATCAAGGAGTAGGGAAGCTTATACAGAAGTTATACTTTTTCACACGCAAGAGGTTAAGGTAAAGCTGCAAATAAACTTCTTTTTATGTCACTACAAGACAATCTGTAACGAAGAATTTGGTCACCCAGAAACAAGAACTGAAAGCAATGTCCCTAAACTGGGGTTTATTGCTTCCCAGGCTTCACTTGGTGCTGGATCTGGCTTTGCAARAACAGACACATCAGCATGAAGTGATACTGAAACTGCAGAATTAGAAGACTGAGCGCTTTCATTGTCCCCTTCTCTTTAAATGTTCAAAGCATCATGTATCTGTCATACAGAAGTGCTTCGCTTCCCACGAACAGGATTAGATGTGAAATGTAATTTCTCTAGATCCTGTATCTGGAAAGACGGCAGAGGGAGGAGGTCTTAAACATGCACACGTACATTTTCCAGGAATTTACTTCCAGAGCCTGGAAAGGGTATCGTAGTCCTCTAGCATGAACTGATTTAAAGCTAGATGCTTACATCCACAAACGGAAAGTTCCTCCTTTCCCTTYCTCTATATTTTACCCCTCTGGAAAGAACAGCTGTTAGCCCTCAAGCTCCATTTTACTTGCAATATGGCTAGTGTGGTGCGTGTGATCCACAATGAGCTCTGGGAGAAGAGCTTTCATTCCTGAATGTGGTCAAGTTGAGACCTCTCTCATCGCAGCTATTGCGTCTTCTCTTAAAGGAAATGCCAATTTTCTGCTGTCTGAACCTTGTTCTCRGTTTTGTGGCTAGAGCTGCACAAACAGGAACGAAGCCCTCAGCTATGTCTTTTAGAAATGCACAGYTGGGAGCTAGAGCGGTTTGTGCTTTGCATGATTCTCATAGCTAAGAAAAATTCCACTTACCACGCAGAAGAAAATACTGCACAGAGGAAGTCAGCATATACTTACGTTCTAAAGCATTCCCGCATTGCTCCACGGCCAAAGGGCTAGGGGAAAAACAAAACAAAATAAACAGCATTGTCATTTCCACAAAATTAATTTCTAGCCTGTAAGGGGCAGGATCTTGCCTTCACGATCTGAAGGAATCACTTTTCAAATAGCTTTATACAGTAGCTATCTGTCACCTCAAAGTGACAGCCCACAGACAGCATAACATAGAAATTTGGCCAAAARCCACTGGATATTAACTTCCTTCCTCAATATCCCAAGGAGCAGATGGGATAGGTCGTTCAAAGATGCTGTTTAAAAATCTCYCTCCAGTTTGCAGTCAAACCTTTCCAGACTGCCTAGGGGAGCTGCCTTCACAAATATCAAGCCCTCATGCCAGTTTCCACAGAAGATGAGTGATGCAACCGTCACTTTGAACATCACACACAGAAGATGATGATTCAAAGACACATTCAACCCCATGACACAACTGGGAAGTGGCAATAGCTTCCATTCTCATACAGTAAATTCCCTCTGCTTTCATCCTAAGAASAGGAATTATTACTAGATAGAAGACAGCAGGCCCACTGGCAGGCAGGGAGATGAGGCTCAGAGCACTGCAGGGGAAGGGCCGAAATAGGAGGGCGACTCTGAGAAGGGAACAAACACCTTATGTCACCAATGCAGGGAGGGCTGAGTATACAGTCTATTCTAGGAAGAAAATGCTGCTGGGACATCAGAACATAATGAATGAGCAGAAAAAGAGGTAAAGGAGAGGAATATAAAAAGATATAGTCTTCAAAGCTCATAAGAGAAAGGCATCTTGTAGTAAGAGCAAGAGTCTAACAAATTTGACTGCTAATACGCAGGAAACACAGGGTGATCTTACTTGCGATGCCATCTTGATGAGGACCTCATCTTCAACCCAGGCCCCAGTAACCGCGTTGTATCTACAAAAAAAAAAAAAAAAAAAAAAAGAGGATTTGGATCTCTTGCAAAAAAAAGCAGAGGGAATCCCAGCCCTCCCAGCCCCAAAGCCTGGGCTTCTTTATCCTGTGCAATCCTGGCTCTGGCTTGGGAGCTGCCCCAGGTTCACCAAGGACGTGAGCAAACTGCAGCACCGGCGAGGGTGCGAGAAGTGGGCCAAGTGCCGCCCAGGTCGCATCAAGCAGGGAACAAGTCTCTGCAGTCCCTGTCATTATGCACAGGGCATGGGGACATTGAGGACACTGGGGTTTCTCCCCTCTCCCTTCACCCACCACTGAACTGGTGGAGCCAACAACACACAACTGCTTCCAGCCTGGTCTCCCCAGCTCACTTGGCTACTTCTGGGTCCTACAGCTGTGTTATCACTTTCTTATTCTTCAAAATACACAAAATACTCCAGGATTGTGCAGCTGACCRGGGACAGACACAGCCTGGGGGGAAAGACTGCTGTGCAATGGTGCTGCGCAAGTGGGAGGGAGCCGGCCCCAAGCTGCTGCCATGGGGTAATGAAGTAGCCCCTAACTCCCACTCCTCCCACCCACAGACCTGTGTCACTAGGGCAACTGTTCCGGCAAAGCCTGCGCTCAGTGAACTTCAGTGCTCTCCGGGTTGGAGACAGGATCGGCACATACACCGTGCTGCGCTATTCCGGCCTTTTTAAGGACTTAAATTCCAGCCACATGCAGCAACTCTGCATGCAGAGACAACAATAAAAGTGCTATTTTGGGAAGGCACAGAGTGCTATGCCATCTTTTTTTGTTCTTTTTCTTTTTAATCTTAAAACTGCAAACATTGCCTATTTATTAGGGTTAAGTTCCTTATTAGATTAAGTTTATAGAATTAATAAATCAACCAGAAAATGCTTTTCAGACATTTCCTGTCTCTGGATGAAATAACTTTTGCATGCTACTTAATTTGGAAAAGTAGCAAGAACAAGACACTGGTTTGCTGAAATACTTATTTTTTGACCACATGCAGCATTTATCACATACGTATCCCTGGGAAATTCAGTCAAGGCACAGGAATTCGGAGCATATTTGGCAGTTTTTCAGACAAGTAATTACACATATTCTATCCGATGAACTCTTCAACATGGGCCAGCAAAACCCTTTAACATCAGCATTGAAAGCAAGACATACAGACCTGTAACGAGTAGCATACTCTGTCTCAATATCCTCAAGATGAAATTCTGCCCAGGGATCGGGCATGTGCTTAGCCTTCTCAATAGCATGTTTCCAGGTCTCCTGGAGAAGTTATAAGAGGTTATGTACAATCAGCAGCAACCCACAGAAACAGTGTTTTCTAGAGTACATCTGAGTTCCAAGGATAAAAATATGTGCAGCTGTCCAAGTCCACAAAAGACCAGAGAGAACAGAGACCAAACCAGGAACAGGACAGAGCAGTCTTCCTCCAACATTTTCTTTCCCCTTCTCTGTTTCATACAGAACACCACTCTGGCATACAATTAGTAGCAGAGCAATATGAAGGAGGGAAAAAAAAAWTGTAAAACCCAGGTCTCCCAAACGGTGTCCAGAATAAGGTAAGAAAGTTGAAATTAACATATTGTGAAAATTAATTATTGTAACAATTCCATCATGTAGCTATTTCAAGTTCCATCAAATCAATAGGAAAAAAGAAAAAAAAAAAAGTTTGTTGAATTTGAATAGCCTGTCTCTGCAAGCCAGCGGGCTGCTTTTCTTATTACATTTCAAAGCCCCTCTTTTCACATTGTGCTGAGAGCTTGATATGATTCTATGATGTGCTAAATGCCTTCTGCAAAGAGAACAGGCCACTTTGCACCCTGAAGCACCCAGCACCACCATCCTGAAGGAAAATGCTGTTATCTCCCAGTCCTCATCCCTGCCTCTGTGYCTGAAGTACACAGAAACAGAGACTTGAAAATAGCATTCTTTTTTCTTTTTTTAGAATTTAAATATCAAAACTGACAAAAACCACAGTATAAACAAATGTTAGGAATGACATCAAARAACTTTAGGAAGAAGCTGATCTTTTAAATTTGCCATATTCTTTTGTATTTCATTTATTTTAACGGTCTTTCAAAATTTTTGATTTGATGACTTGTACAGTTGAAGCAAGTACATCTCTTAGTGAAATAATGAAYAAGACCAGATAAAAGGGAAAAAAAATACACACACATACACACATATAAAAATCTATTACACGAGATGTTCATATTTKGTTTTAACCTACCCGACTATGGTCAACCACAGAGCCATGCTTAGAGCAATCCTGTGTGTCATTCTGAAGCATACACGAGAAACAAAAGTAGGAAAACACACATGATAAGACAAACGACTGAAAAGGCTTTCTTTTTCTTGGTTAACATAGCATACATCAAAGTCTGTCCTCATATTTATACTACACTTACTCCTCATCTTCCTTAGGAATATGTACATTTTAATATTAATAATCATCATACAAAAAGAAATCTTATTACAGACAAGATGGTTTACTTTGTATGCGTTACAGTTTTTGRTAACTGAGAGACATGCCTAGATCTAGAGACATGCCATGTTAGCATGAATGGTATGTGGGATATCTAACCTACAGAAGGTCACTTGTGTCCTTGAGGCACCGGTTCCSGTGGGTTCTCTCCCCTTTTCCTGGCCTGATCTGAGCAAAGGGAGCAGAGTGGGGCAGGACACAGTGCCAAGGAAGCACCAAACTCAGCCCCTCCATAGTCCCCCAGTTGCAGGGTGTCCCTCTGCAGCACTACGATTGCCCTTCATTCCAAACACGTCAGGGAGCTTGAATACACTGCAGGAGACTCCTGCCGCTGTGACACTTCACATCCAGGCACCACAGTCAATATGGTAGAAGCTCCTTAGGAATCCAATCTCTTGATGATTTTTYTTCGGTTACCTTACAAAAATCACATTCCCCACATTCCCTTTTTCAAATTAAAAAAAAAAGATATATTATTAGCTTGGCCTGGCACAATTTACGGGAAAGTATTTTCTGCCAGCCACCAAACAACAGCTTAGCTTACAACAAATACTATCTCTAAAAACTCCCAGTCATTGCATTGGGAGTCATCCTGGGTTCTGCTGAACTGAGAAGGACTGACAAACTATTGGCTTAAGGAATTAATTGCAGGTCTAGAGAAAAAGAAAAAAAAAAAAAAAAAACCCACAGAAATCAGCTGGATGCTCTCAATGAATGTGTTAGTCACAGAAACGAAGCACTTAGGAGAATCTTTATCTCTCATGCCAACTAAGTAAAACCAGAATCTTATTTAAGGCTGGAGCCAATGCTTACCTTAAAGTGGAACGAGTTGCTAGGTGAAGAGCTTGAACTGTAGTGCTCAGTTTTTGCTAAGTTGCTATAATAATTGTCAACTTTGATACAGGCAGACTTGTTAGAAACTGGATCATCAGTTATCGGACAGATGTAATAATTATCCTCATCATCACTATCAACATCAGGGTAATTTCCAGAGTTCACTTTAGTTATTCTAGCATTATCAATCCCTTCCATACGAAAAATAAGGTCCTCGTCTGCCATGTTTGCGGGAGGTTGGTTTAACTCTTGCAGTGATTAAAGCAGCCACTATTCCAGCRTGTGCAGATGGAGGGGAAAAGCTGGGTGGGAGAGAGAGAGGAAAAAAAAAGAATGGGCTGTTATTAAGATCACAAAGCATGTATGGAACTGATGCTTATAGCACGTTAGCCAACACACACATACACACAACAAGCATTTGTAGATATCTTTATAAAACGGATGCTTGAGTATCAACATTCATACAATTTCAAACGCCGCAATACAGCAGCTGTAGTCCCAGCAGGCACCCAACTTTACAACTCTTACAGCTTACAAAAAAAAAGAACAACAACAAAAAAAAAGGAATAGAGTAATATCACGAAATCTGAGGGACTGCAAACACCACCAAGAAAATAAACAGTATCGGGACTGGAAGAAATCCCCTTGGGGGGGGAGGGAGAACATAACTTAAAAAAAGGTATAAAGACAGGAAGTATGAAGAGGAAGGAGAGAGAAGACAGAAGTAAGGGGATAAGTATATTTATKCGCCTCCTTTTGGAGCATTTTTTTGCCAAAATGAAGACTTTCAAATGACTATTGCAGGGAGAGGGGAGTAACTGACTTGAAAAAATCTACAAGGACAGATTCTGTTATATTTGAAATTACCTGAAAGGTGCAGATAAATACAGATGCTTAAAAATCAACAGCAAATAGTATGTGGTTAAAAAAAAAAAAAAAAAAAACAAACAACAAAAAAAAACACCCTACATTTAAGGCTTAGTGATATCCCCACTGATATAAGCTTGCCTTTGCAATGTGATTATCTTCCCTTGGCTTCCAAAGCTTTTGCAGCTCCCTACGATGACAGAAGAACATTTCCCTCCAGAAAGGCTATAGCCAAATCATGATAATTTTTTCTTATGAGTTGCATGATTTCAGCAATACAGATCACCAGTCAGTGGAACACAAGACAGCACAAAATACTCTGAATGCTTAAGCTAGAAGACCCTGCAGGGAGAGTGCAAGCAGTCATTGCCGGGGCTAAAAATCAGCTTCCAGTAAATCCTCACGGTCTAACATTTCATCATCCATTTCACACAGGTCAGACACCAGCTAAAATTACAACTGGTTTGTTTCCATGGCATAAAGCTTAAGTAAAAAAAAAAAAAAATCCATCCTGCTTAACAGTTCTATCAATGCACTTAAGGGAAAAAATGGAAAGCTCAATTATGTTAATGGCAATTTCAACTTTTTAGTAGCTTTCTGGATCTTGAGAGGACAAAACAGGCCAGCTTCTCCTTGGCCAGCTTCTCCTGAAAAAATTCACCAGTCCGTTCCAGGCAGATCATGGGTTTATAGGAAAATAAGCCCAATAACTTCTAAGTCCAGAAAGTGAAGTTCTGGGTAAATACTTCAGTGAGGCCTTCTGACATGTAATTACTGATAAGAGTAAATAATCCTGGGAGTTCCACATGGAGAGCACAGCAGGAGCTCTACAAAGGCTCTTCTCTTACCCCAGCTTTCAGAATCAGGGAAACTGTATAACCACACGGCCCGACTGATGCAACAGCCATGTGTTATATAAAAAGATAGGTGAGTCATGGAAGCATTTTCCACAGAGCTCAAGTTCCACCCGTAGAGGTCTTGTGATGGCAACGGGCTCTGCAGCCTCCTCCCGAGAAACAGGGAGCGACAATTCCGCRGAACTCAGACGGAAACAAACCCTGGCCGTGCCCAGCTGTCGATGGCAGGCGCCGGCTCTCYCCGTCACACGTGTCCAGACACACAGATACAGAGAGGTCTTCATGTCGGCACTTCTCCCAGGCCCTTGCCCTGCTCCCCCATTTCATGCTGACTCTTCCCACATGCAGGAGAAGGCAGAGCCTCAGCAGACAGGACACGGGCAGAGGCACCAGTGCAGGACACCAAGGTGACCTTTGGGAGAAGGGTCTGCCAGCTTCCCGACCGGAAAAGCGCCCTCCTTCTACCCCATCAGCTCGAGCGAGCAGATTCCTATTTCCCCGATACACTTATCCTCCCTGAAGTCACYGTTTTCCCTGGAGCTCCCAGCTCTTTACCTGCTGAGCCCACTTTCACTATCACATTCACTTCTGTGTTGGTTTGTGGCTCTCATGGAAAATATGAATCGTCAGACTGGAGCAGACCCGTGACTCATCTAGTATCTGTCACTTCAAATTAAGAAGCAAAGAAATCTGCACAAAAAATAAACTGCCTCTGTGTGTTTTTCTAGTTGCTGGTAAGGTTTTACACACTGAAGTTTCATGGATTTTCTGAAACACTTTGTACTCATTATCTCTAAAATGTAAAATTAGTACAGTTATTTCCTGCAGCCTCCTGTGAATAATACTTGCTTTGGACAAATTTAATGACTTCCTACAGAAACCTCAATGCTCAATTGCATCAAAACGTCTTAGATCCTCTCTAAAGAGGATCTTTACACAGACTGAAGTGGAACTRTATTTTTGCAATACACTTTCTTTGTTTCTTCTGCTGACAGTGCAACAGCGTATAATTAATTCTATAATGACTCTATCCTGCTTGGAGTTTCCAGATCGCTCCACATTTTCCTGCAGTATTTTTATTACCCCTTCAACGCTGAGGTCAACAGCGAGTGGGACTACAACCGCACTGACAGTGTGAGCAGTGTGACCCACTAGGGCTTCCCGGGGGAATCCGGCGCCTGGACAAGCGGGCAGCAGCACCCGCGCGGCTCCTTTGGGGCAGATCTGCAGCCCGAAACGGCACTGACGACCTGACCCTCTTACCGTACACTCCTCAGGGCGCCTGGAAAGCTCTGGGCACCGCTGGAACGCGCCTCGCTGATAACTTTCACCCACGAGCAGTTCACTGCAGGCTCTGAGGCTGCTTTTCGACGCGAATGAAYGCGCAGCGAGCCGAGACGCCGAGGCGGCCGCTTCCAAAGCGGCTCTGATGCGAGCAAGCAGCCGGCGCGAGGCAGCGCTCCAGGGGACACACAYCACAGCCCTCCCGGGAGGACAGAGCTTGATTTATTATAGGTCCTTCTGCCTAAAAATAGGAAAGCAGACCTACGAAACACAGCGTGGCTCCTGAACTGCTACCATCACTTAATGTTTTCTGTGGAGCAATTAGAAATCTGCTGCACAAACATAAAAATCCAGTCAGGCTCAGGTTAATGTGGATATTTCCTCTGCCTTCCACACAGTCAGATTTTTTCTCCTCATTTTAGCTTTAATTATTCATATTGCTCTACTGCATGAAAAACAGGAAGGGGTTAGAGCAACACAAACTAATCATCCAAATCTTTACACAGCTTTGGCAGAGTTCAAACAATTTATTTTTCTGACAAGCCTTCTATRACACTTTTTGCTGGCTCTTTGGGTGAATGCTGTGAGTACATTAGAACCAGGTACACCTGCYTTGCTCTTGAATGGAAAAAAAAATGTAATCAAAATCTGGTTTTGATTAGAAATTAAACAAAGCTGCATATCTAGACCTATTTCACATGATATGTAGCTTAAAATYCTGTAAGACTGAAAAATCAAAGTGATTTGAGCTTGTAGGATATTGCACTTCATTTGTTCTCATCATTATATAAGCATCAGTCTTCTTTCTAACATTCTGTTTTACAAACTGGAAAAAATGGGACACAAGAGTGATCAAAGGCCCCTGGAAGAGGTGAGCGTCTGCTGGGATGCTTTGAAAACGCAGGTACCCACAAAACAAAGGAGTCGTTGGCACGTTCAAACTCGGGCTCTGACGCTGGCTGTGCAGCACCTTACTGCTTAAATCAGACACTTGCAAGTGTTCAACTAGTTGACTAGTTCTCAGGTGACCTCGTCACCCAAYGAACTAAACAGAGAATTTCCACACAAGTAGCCTAAAATAGATAACTGTAGCACAAGGGTTTTAGCTTTGTTTTGTTGCAAGCTACTGTTTAGCTCTACCTCCCAACCACCCTTCTCCGCAACACAGCGCCAGATAAACGCCCTTCTGCATCAGCATTCAGAGCTGCCAACCTCGCGCCACAGCTCCCGACCGAGGCTCGGTGCAGCAACAGGGACGTTCTGCAGCGTGCTCCAGCGAGCCAGGCTTGTCTGGGGCTCGTTGCTGCTCTTCTGGTGGAGGTGCCATCCCCGCAGCTCCAAAACACAGCAAACAGTCACCCCAACACAGCTGGCTGTGGGAAATCCCTGCTGAAGAAGGCACATGGAGAAACTCAGCTGCCTTTGCGCTGAAGCGGCTCAGGAGCCTTCATAAAACCAGGGATTCCAGAAGAACACAAACCTCCTCTATGCTGGCACACACAAACAGCAGCTCTAAAAAGCTCCCAGGGGCTGGACTAACTGTAATTCCAGGATATACTGCACTGGGATCACTACCCACAGCTGCTCCATCCTGCACCCATTTCTATAGCTCCAATTAAACACATATCAGCAGATCCACCAGGATGTAAAGGTCTGAGGAAAGGCAGCACAGAAATGCTGTTTTATGATTGCAAAAAGTTGATGATTCCAGTGATTTGCAGTGTACATCATCACACAAATGAGCTAGTATTTAAAGCTAACTGTGTTTATAAAACACTTCCCAGTTCTTTCAAAGCTATTTCTTTCAAAGGACTTGTGGTCTTTGCAAGTGTATTTACCAAGAACTGAATTCTATTTTAAGAAGCCTATTATGCAAAGACAGCAACCAAGCTTCAACTACACAAACACTGTTCTAAACCTTAGAAATGTTGACCAAGTCTTGGAAAGAGCCTGAGCTTCATCCCAAATCTTACATTCTGGGCTTTTACATTATGGCACAAAGCCATGCTATCTAGGAATCTCTGTTAT